GTAAACAATGAATGGCGACTGCAGAAAGCAAAAGCTGAATCCAGGACATCGACGGCAGGACATGTCCGGGAAAAAGAGGATGGTAACCCATAAAGTTACTACTCAGCTTTCTCCACAGAACAAGAGCCTGCTAGCTTAGCTTCCAAAAAAGATGGCTGACACTATGTGTAATCCCAATCCTCCATAATGCATCCGTCTGCGTATTCAGTATGTTCGTCCTTATTTTCAAAACGTTTCTGCCGGTGAAATCAATCGCACTGGCACTGATCTGTGATTGGTCGGTTAGCGTATTAGGTCCACCCTAGAGCCAGACCGATATATCGGCTGGCCGATATTATCAGCCGATATTAGGCATTTTCCATAATATCGGTATCGGCAGTTATAATGGTCGATAAATGAATATTTAAAACATAAAATAAAAACGGACGAAACACGCTTCAATCATCTCTCTTTGGCCTGTTATATTGAAAATTTGTTTTACAACTTGCAGTATGATGTTATCTATTTTTAAATTATGGCTCATCATAGACTAGCTAACGGCAATATCATCAGTGGAAGACCGCTAACGTTAACATTAATGAGCTTGGAAACCACAATGAACTTGTTCTGCCTAAATTAAAAAAAAGTAATGATTACTGTATTTATAGCTAGCATATCTCTAGTTACAGTCTCTGCATTGTAAAATGTAAGTTATACTTGCGAGGAGTGAACATTTAGACATAGAGAAAAAGTATCAAATGTATCCTGTGCAGAAAAGTTAACTTTTCTTTTACACGTGTGTGAAATCCAACAATATTTAATAAAACAAAAATATCGGATTTTAAAACCCAAAAATATTTGTATCGGTATCGACCTTCAAAATCCTTTATCGGTCGGGCTCTAGTCCACCCCCCTATGGGCGGGTTTGAAAGGGTGAGATCTAGTGCTTGTAGTCTTTATAGAAATCCCTCCTACAATTACTTAAAATGATGATTTTTGCGTCATTGTAGGAGGAAGTAAAAAAGGTAAATAGCGGATTTCTCTCGTCTCAGGGGAAAATGAGAGTGTTGCACGACCATTCAATAGTATGACTTGGTTTCTAACAATGGAAAGTTTCTTAATGCAAATGGACGGAGTGTCCCTTTAAATATCATATTCTACCATTCAAAAGTTGGAGGTCAGTGATGTCTTTAATTTGTTGGAAAGAATTTAATAGTTTCATCCTTTTATTAAATTGATTAAAAGTGACAGTGTATGTCATGTATGTCATGTTTCATATTTCCATATTTAAAAAAGAAATCATAAAAATGCTATTCATCAAAGAATCCTTAAACAAATGTATCACGGTTTCTACAGAACAACTGATTTCTAAATTTATATTAATAAGAAATGTTTCTAGAGCAGCAAATCAGCATATTAGAATGACTGGAGTAATGATGCTGAAAATTCAGCTTTGATTACAGGAATAAATTACATTTTAAACTGTAATATATATATTCGAATAGAAAACAGTTATTTTAAAATGTAATTATATTAATGTTTTTACTGTATTTTTTATTCAAATAAATGAGTAGAAGAAACTTTGTTCAAAAGCATTTAAAAATCTCCCCGACCCCAAACTTTTGAGTGGTATTGTTTGTATACTGGTAAGTTAGCATGAGTCATGAGGCTTATCAACCCTGTCACAGATGCTGTAGATGAGCTAATTTTATCATCTCTCTCTGTCTCTGTACAGCTGGTGTCTGCAGACGGCTCTCATGGTTCTGACGGAGGATCTGTGTGTGCAGACACTCCTGCCGATCTGCCGCCCCCTCTGGAGAGGACAGGAGGCATCGGAGACTCCAGACCCCCTTCCTTCCAGTCAGTAACCCTACAGCTGTTTCTGTGTGTGTGTGTGTGTCTATTAGCTCGTTCACCGACAGACCAAACTAACGCAGATTCAATTGATATTAGTAGTGATGCACCAAAATGATTTTTGTACTGCAATTGAATTTTTCATTTAGCTAAAAAAATAAAACAAAATTAATATTCATTTCATAATTTATGTAATAATCAATTAATGAGTCAAAAATTCCAACATGCACATATTGTTTACATTGTATACAGACATTTACATTTCACATAAGGCATTTCTAATATCAACGTTTTAATGGTATAATTGTTTTTATTCCAATTCGTTGTTGAAATATTAACATTTAATCAGAATATAAAAGTTATATATACTGTTTATTATACATTATACAGTTATAATAAAACTTCCATAATAAAAAAATAAAATGACAGATTTTAACTTCCATTAAATAATGAAGACATTACTAGCAGGTAAATTAAACATATAATAAATTTGTGATATAGCTGGAAGATATCAATGCTAAAACAATACATGGTGCAGCCCTACATCCGATGTAGATATTGATTTAAAGACAAGAAAATATGACGAGTTATGAATATAGACCCCAGTGTGTTGTGTGCCTCAAAATATTACAATTAATAATTCCTATAGTGTTTTTCGAGAGGCTGAGACTGTCTTTATGGGTGCATGTACTGTAGGTGAAGGGCTTGAAAATATTTATCTCTACAAAAGGGCGGCACAAAAATGTCGGATCCACTGCTAAATATTGTGTGTGATTTTATCAGATAAACACTCACTGGAGGTGGTTAGGGACCGGAAGTGCTCTGTGTTGACTTGCTCTCATTATCCTTCGGTCTCAAAGGCACCAGTTTCCTCTAATGTGGGCTAATCAGAGCCCTAACCCAGAGAGCGCTAGCACGTCAATATCTTTAATGACATCTGCCTGATCACAAGAGGTGTGTTAAGAGGAGCTGTGCGAGTCTCGGAGCTGTGCGTTTACATTTTCCAATAATCCGAGGAGCCCATTACTTGTGAATCTAATCAACCCTACTGACCCTCGTAGACAGACACGCTCATCAATTTAGATTGAGGATTTTCCTACAAAGGCATTGACTGCTTTAAGTGCTTGGTTTGTTAGGGATGTGAAGCATTATTTGGGCTGCACAGCTAATCAGATTGTGTTATGGCCTTTATTAAACTGCAAAAGGCTATAGTTTAATTAAATAAATTAAATTGTCAAAGCTCAAAGTGAAGGAGTTGCATTTTTCCTTTAAGGGTGCATTTTGAATCATTGTTAGTCTTTTCACATTTGGTCTCAGAGTTCATATTTTTTAATGTAAATTATGTATTTTTAAATAATATAATAACTTAAAGAGAGTACACTTTCATGACTGTTTCTTAATACACTTAATAAGAGTGTTAAGTGTGTTAGTAACTTATAACTTGTAATATAAAATTAAAAGTTTTACTTTAAAGTCCATTTAAAATAATTTAGTTGTTTTAAAGGGATAGGTCACTTTGAAATTAATTTTTTATGTGTTTTATCTTACCTCAAGGGCATCCAAGATGTAGGTGTCTTTGTTTCCACAGTAGTTTCAATTTTGATATTTTTAGGTCAAACCGTTCTTGTCTGTCAGTCAGTCATATAATGCAGGTCTATGGTCACCACCTCTAAGCCACCCACTTGGACGTGACTGTGATTACAAGAGGTAAAAACTATATATTTCGTGTCTTAGGCCATCAATGTGTACTTACATTTACGAGTCATTAAATCATGTTTAATTTGGACTTTGAGGTGGTGACCATAGACCTCCATTATATGATTGACAGACAAGAACGGTTTGACCTAAAAATATCAAAATTGAAAATACTGTGGAAAGAAAGACACCTACATCTTGGATGCCCTTGAGGTAAGATAAAACATACCAAAAATTAATTTCAAAGTGAATTATCCCTTTAACTAACAAACTAAAGCACATGTAAAGTACTTGATTATTATGTGTTGTTCAGGATTACGTTTAAAGGGAATATATTTTAAGTGTAATAAATGGCAACTTCGTCATTTTCAAATATAATCACTAATATATTTAATTAAATATACATGGCATACAAGTGTCTGTGGAAATTATATTAACGTATATATTTTAGTTACCATAAATGCTTCAGCAATACACTTTAAACCATACATAATAGTCAAAAACACTCTTTAGGTTCAAGTAATTATACTTTTAAATATAATATATTTTCATTTCATTGCAAATAACATGTAACAAATAACAGATATATTATTTGTTTGATTTCAAAGGTGCATTTGGTTCATTCATGGCAAAAAAAAAATCCCTATGGAGAAATTGAATGAGAAAAATACTCCTGGAACCCAGGGCAGTTATTGTTGCGCTCTATTGTGATTTTTAATGTTAATGATTTCACAGTTCAAATCTCACAAATAATACCATGTGATTTACTTTGACAAAATCGTGCAGGCCTTTTTATATAGATTTTGATATTTGTTGTTTTGCTGCCTATATCAGTGGTTTTTCCCACAGGTCTGTTTGTGCCATTGTTGGTCAGTGGGTCTCTTTATCTGCATGTAACCACATGTGTGTGCATAGTTGTTTGTCCTGCTGGTGTTTCCTGTCTGTGTCTGTGTGTGTGTGTGTGTGTGTGTGTTTCCTGTTCTGTCTGTCAGGCAGCATGACTCCCCTCTGTGAGAGTGTTTGTGTCCAGGTTAATTAATTATTCATACACTGTGAGTGAACACAGCCAAATGTAGTTAAGAGAAATACAGCAGCAACCTGTGAGCGCCCTCTGCTGGTGATCCTCAAAACATACGGGTACGGATCCTTCTCACACAGAAGCTGTACTTTTCCCCAAACACTTCAGCTGATACAGTATGTATGCCGCCAAATCACAAACTGGAGTTTTCTTTAATCACAACTTTCTGAGTTGAGAATGGTTATTTGTGATCTGTGAATGTTTACTGTACATTGTGTGTGTGTGGCATGTGTCACTCAGCGATGTGTTTATCACTGCCTGTCTTCTGAACACCCAGCCTTCATCTTTCTAATGTCCGCTTTTCATGCAGTGCGAATGCCGCAGGAAGTCAGGATGACCTGGTCAACGACACCGAGCCTGAGGTGGGTCCATCGCTGCGAAGAGATCGAGAGAGGGAGAGAGAAAGGCCTCGTAGGAAAGATGCACATGACCATGGTGAGTTTCCCCAGGTCTGTTTAGTGAGGATGAGGAAACCCCGCGGGCTTGTTTGATGGGTGTTGTCTTCTGCAGGAGGCCGGTTAAACGGTCACTCTCGGCCGGAGCGCAGACAGGAGATCGGAGGCTATGAGAGCTCCTCCACGCTCATGAGCAGTGAGCTGGACACCACCAGCTTCTTCGACTCCGAGGAGGACGACTCGGCCAGCAGGTGAGGCTGAAACACTTTCAACAGGGATTTTCAAACAAGGAATTTTCTGACTCTTTTAAAATGGAAGTTTGATGTAGACATTATGTATGTAGACTTTCACAATGCAAAACTCCTAGTACACACATTGTTTATGAAAACTCATCAACAGGGCCATTCAATTTAAAAAAAAGCATTGCTTTTTTTCTCTTCTTGCATGCAACCATTCGTGGAAAATTTTGCAGGATTTTAAAATATTTTTGTCCTCTACCGGTCGACTATCTGCTATCTATGATCTATGAAAGTAGTTCACTTTTGATAATTTACTCACCCCCATGTCACCCAAGATGTCCATGTCTTTCTTTCTTCAGTCGAACAGAAATTAAGGTTTTTGAGGAAAACATTCCAGGATTTTTCTCCATATAATGGACTTCATTGGGAACCAAACAGTTCAAGGTCCAAATGAGAGTTTCAGTGCAGCTTCAAAGGGCTTTAAACGACACCAGATGATGAATAAGGGTCTTATCTAGCGAAACAATCGGTCATTTCAAAAATAAATAAAAAAGTTTAAGTTTTAGAAACACAAATGCTCGCCTAACCATTTGGACCTTGAAATGATTCAAAAAAAGATTCGTTCATTTTGATAAACGAGTTCGAACAGGAGAGTCACGAACGATGAAGCGATCGTTAAATGGTCTTTTCGCTTGATAAGACCCTTATTCATCGTCTGGAATCGTTTAAAGCCCTTTGAACAGTTTGCAGTTTGTACTAAAACTGTCTTTTGGACCTTGAACCATTTGGTTCCCATTGAAGTCCATTATATGGAGAAAAATCCTGGAATGTTTTCATCAAAAACCTTAATTTCTTTTCGACTGAAGAAAAAAAGACATGGACATCTTGGATGACATGGGGGTGAGTAAATTATCAGCAAAACTACGTACTCCTTTAAAATGCACGTTGGTCAGTCAGATTGTAAAGAGAAAATGCAATCTACTCTACTATTAGCACCTTGAGAATTGTTTGGACAATAAAGCAGATTTAGCCCCAATTCACAATATTTTCTTTGTCATCATAATAATTTTCTAGGGCTGTCAAACGAAATTCTAAATAAAAATAAAATTCAAAATAAAAGTTTGTGTTTACATAATATATGTGGGTGTACTGTGTATGATTATTTTTTATATATATAAATACACACACATGCATGTATATATTTAAGAAAAAAATAGTATTTATGTATAAAATATTTATATTATTATAATATATATAATATTTTTATATTATAATATACAGTATAATATATTATAATATATTATTATATAAATATTTATATTTAAATTATATGCATGAAAATATTTCCTAAAAATATACATGCATGTGTGTGTATTTATATATATAAAATAATTATACACAGTGCACCCACATATATTATGTAAACACAAACTTTTATTTTGAATGCGATTCATTGTTTGACAGCCCTATAATTTTCATTACACTGATACAGTCTGTGTTTTTTTTATTTTTTTATATATTACAGTAACCATGATGTATAATCTTAATGATAGTAAAATAAAATATATGTTAATCTTTATGTTTCACATTACAGTAATGAGAATTATGGGGCTTAATGATGGCCTGAAAACAATGTAAAAATGCAAAAAGTCCTAGCAGTTTATGCACAGTATTTTTGCATAAAGATAATAAAATCTATAATTAGGACCCGTAAAAATACTTAGCATTTTTACTCCATTTTAAGGACAATTCTGGCACATGTACAGAGGTCAGTATTAACAACGATAATTTGCATGCAGGCATGTTGAAATTATACAGATTGTAAGAGTAAGCATCAGAGAGGAGGCGAAACTATTCATGATACATATAGAAAATGGCTCCTTTAAACACTTAAATGACTTAATGCACATTCAAATCACATGCTCTGGAAAGCCAACACAAAGCATGGTTTTCCATGGTCTCATACACTACTACACTAACTCAAAGGATTGAATGGTAGGAATCACATGACTATCAGGACCAATCAGAGCTGAGAGGACTGTAACGTGCATTATATGTGCACAAAAGACACTAGATAGGATGTTTTGAAGATTCATCTGTGATGCCACTGCAGGTTCAGCAGCTCTACGGAGCAGAGCACATCGTCACGTCTCATGAGACGCCATCGGCGCCGCAGACGGAAACCCAAAGCACCCAGGATGGAGAGGGTGAGACTCCCGCGCCTGATAAACATTGTGTTTGTATCCGGCTGTCATTGTTGAGCTGTCTCTTTAAGTGTCCTTATCTCTGTTTCTTTCCAGTCCTCATCGTTCAGCAGCATAACTGACTCCACCATGTCTCTGAACATCATAACTGTCACGTTAAACATGGGTGAGTATAGTATAGTAAATAGTGTTTTACCGCACTCTCATAATACTAAATCTATACTCTGCTCCTCATCTCTCCATTTTGTTTTCCTCTGTTCCTCTTGCTATAGAGAAGTATAATTTTCTGGGGATTAGTATAGTCGGGCAGAGTAATGAGAGGGGTGATGGAGGGATCTACATCGGCTCCATCATGAAGGGCGGCGCGGTGGCCGCTGACGGACGCATTGAGCCTGGTGACATGCTTCTGCAGGTCAGTCACACTGTCATGGTCTGTTTTGGCTGTTTCGAAGAGATTTCTAACAGTTGCTTTTGTGTTGTAGGTGAACGATATCAACTTTGAGAACATGAGTAATGATGATGCAGTGAGGGTGCTGCGAGAGATTGTCCATAAACCTGGGTAAGAAGTGGATGCTGTGATGTTTGCTTCTCTTGTTACGGGCTAGATGATATTTATGTCAGCACTGACGTTACCTATGATCGTGCATCTTCACGTTTACAGACCCATCATACTGACTGTGGCCAAATGTTGGGATCCAAACCCCCGTAGCTGTTTCACCCTCCCAAGAAGTAAGAGAGATACTGGGTTACAGTGCTGTTCAAGTCAACCTTAAAAGAGTAGTTCACTTTTGAAAAAAACTTTTGCAGATAATTTACTCACCCTCATGTCACTCATCCAAGATGTCCATGTCTTTCTTTCTTCAGTCGAAAAGAAATTATGGTTTTTAAATGAAAACATTCCAGGATTTTTCTCCATATAATGGAGTTCAATGGGAACCAAACGGTTCAAGGTCCAAATGAGAGTTTCAGGGCAAACTGCAAACTGTTCAAAGGGCTTTAAACGATTTCAGACGATGAATAAGGGTCTTATCAAGCGAAACGATCGCTCATTTAAAAAAAAAAAAAAAGTTTAAGTTTTATGCCTGGTTCAGATTACACGATTTTAGCCCGATTTTGGCACGATCCGTTTGATGTAGGGTGTCGTGGGGATTCGTAAACGTCAACGGGCGTCGGGACGCAAGATTCGTTTGTATCATCTCGTATAGTGTGTCATAGTGGGCGACAACTTATGTTGCGTAAGACTAGCATGTTTAATTTTTTTAACAGTCGTTCACAACGGGTTCCGTCACATGTATGAGGTTGACCAATAGCAGCACAGAAGCTTTTCCGTGCACAACTTTCAAAAATGGCGAAACGAAAGAGAGACGATGGTAAAAAAATATATAAGTAAACAATATTTTACCTCAAGTTCTCTTTGGAGGATCTTTTTTTTCTTTCTTTTTTACTTTTTTCAGCCAATACGCTTCATACATTGTTTGTTTACGTTTGTTTCCAGAAGTCACTCGCTACTAGTTTTGCCTTCTCGATGACATTTCAGGAACCAACTTGTTGTCTGACATGTTTCATATTCATGACACGACAAGATTTTAGGAGTTAAAATTGTGTAATCTGACAAAGTGATCTTAACAGACAAAAAAATTGTGTAATTTTCACCTTGCTCTGTTCTGTGATGCACATTCGTGACTCTCCTGTTCGAACTCGTTCATCAAAATGAACGAATCTTTTTTCGAGTCATTTTGTTGATTAAGTTCGTTGAACTAAATGATTTGAAAAAAGAGCAATTTGTGCTTATAAAACTTAAACTGTTACTTATTTTTAAAAATATTGCTTGATCAGACCCTTATTCATCGTCTGGTGTCGTTTAAAGCCCTTTGAAGCTGCACTGAAACTCTCATTTGGACCTTGAACCGTTTGGTTCCCATTGAAGTCCATTATATGGAGAAAATCCTGGAATATTCTCATCAGAAACCTTAATTTCTTTTCAACTTAAGAAAGAAAGACATGGACATCTCGGATGACATGGGGGTGAGGAAATTATCAGCAAAAGTTTTTTTTAAAAGTGGTTTTCACAACCATTTCACTTTCACAGTTAAATGACTTTCTTTTACTGTTCTTGACCTTTTTGGATTCAAATGACCAAGTGACTTCCCCTGTGTTCATTCAGGTGAGCCGATCCGTCCCATAGATCCTGCTGCCTGGGTGTCTCACACGGCCGCTATGACGGGGGCGTACCCAGTGTACGGTATGAGCCCTTCCATGAGTACAATCACCTCCACCAGCTCCTCCATCACAAGCTCCATTCCAGAGACTGAGCGTAAGTGTTTATCCACCCACCCTTCCCATAGTCCACCTCTGCTGGGCCTGCTGTCTGTCGCCAGAGGATGACTTCATCTGCTAGTCCACTGCTTACTGTGTTTCGATCGTAGCCCTCATCAACTGAGTGTGTCAAATGGAAATCAAAAATTTGTGATTTGTCTTGAATGAAATACAAAAACTATACTTTGGAAATTAGGGCCACCCTTGTGGAAAAGAAGCACACATTTGCAGACCAAAGAATACTATACAGAAATAATATACTTTAAAGTCTCCAACTTCAGTGTTGTGAAGTATTTCCAAGTGAAACGTAATATCGAAGGCTGGGTTTTATTTTAGCGCACCGCCTCTCCATCTCCAACGGTAAAGCGTTTTCAACCCAATCATTGGAAACATCATTCCAGACCAGAAGTAACATTTCAGATTTTGATTGCTATGACAAACACATTTTTTCTGAATATTAACTTGCTCGGAATAAACGTTTTACAAGTTGTCACTTTTACAAGTTGATTGTACTGCACATTGTACTGATTGTACTGTGACATCACACGGCGCATGACGCCCCTCCCACGAATGTTGATTTACATCAGTGTTTCAATACAGACCCGCCCTGAGCGAGCTGTCATCATAGTCCGTCATTGTTGATACACTGGAGCAGAATGGCGTCTAAGCGATTGTGTTTTTCTGTTCTTGGGAGCAATAACAAACACACAAATCATTTTGATCTTCCTAAATTTGAACCGCTGAAGACGCAGTGGCTGAGTTTTGTTTACGATGGGAATATTTCCCACGATCAACAACAATGCATTCATGTTTGCGCGAATAATTTATCGTAGACTTCTTTATAAACGATAAAAAATATCTTTCTTTTCTGGAAATGGGGTTTTACATTTGTTTGAACATACTTTTAAGATTTGAAGTGCACATTGATTACAATTAAGCACACTTCTTTTTCACAAGGGAAATCCAGAGCTCTTCTCATATGTAATGAGTTGGTAATGGCTACAGCACCTTGATGTTCTCACGAAGCACATTTTTGTAATTCACCCACATCTGTGGACTGCTCTGCACCTTCTCACTATGCTTTACTCTGCAGGGTTCGAGGATTTCCATCTGTCCATCCATAGTGACATGGCAGCAGTAGCCAAAGCGATGGCATCGGCAGAGTCAGGCCTGGAGGTGCGAGACAGAATGTGGCTGAAGATTACCATCCCTAATGCATTCATAGGTAAAACTGCACCCTCATTCTTAAAAATTCATAAACTAATCTGGGCGTGGGGAGGAAATATCACCAAAAATTAAATAAAAAAAACTTTATATCTGTTATCTGGAATCATTTTCAGTATCTATGCAGTTTACAGACACTTTTGTATTTGATTTGATTGGTAACAGCCATAATTGTTAATTGTTAAAGAATTGAAATATTTAACATAAATGGATGTCACTATCTATAGACCTTATGTAGCCCCGCCCCTTTTCAGCGTGCGCTCGTTGTCTTTTGTCTTCCGGTCTGTATTTTCACAGTGATCTTGCCTATTTATGAATGAACGGCTCGTTTTAAAATCTTCCCGGTCTACTGACATTTGTTAAGACATCTGCTTTAAACATTACAATCCTCATGATCGTTAACTCTAAAATAAGTAAATCCACTTCAAAAGCTAATTACTCCTGGACAGCGATGCCATAGAGATATACAGAGCGACCGCAAAAACGGAAGTTCAAAGACAATATTCTAAAGATGGCGGCGCCCTTGTTTCTCTGGTGCATAAGGTCTATAGTGGTGTTTTTTTATCTCTTTTTAAAAAAAAAATAAATGGAAGTAGCAATGAATCACTTCTTCTGTACATCTGAGCATAACGGATTTGCAAAAAATACCAAATGTAGGCAGGACTTGGTTCCATTCATCAGATGTTGATTGGATATTGAGAAAAGTGGAGGCCGATGAACGTTAGCTTTCAGGGGCGGATTTAAGTGACTAATTATTGGGGAAGTCCTACCAAAGAGAAGTCGTTTTCACCGGAAGAGCCAGTTATGACATTTTGATGAAACATTTCAAGGTTAAAATAAAAGAAATTAAACTTATGCGCTTCATTGATGGGGTCAATTTTAATATCATGCCCACTTTAAAGATGTAATTTTCCAGCACCTCATTACTTTTTTAATTTTAAAACATCAACATACAAATGTATTTAGACACTTAAAGGGATCTTTTACTTATCTCTGGGAGTCCATATAGTGCAAGTGAATAGGTTCTGAAATGTCGATGCTCCAAAAAGCACACAGTCATCGTTACATCCATGTGGAAGAATCGATGTCTTCTGAAGCGTGTTGTGAAGCTTGACAGTCCACTGCACTTCTCACGTGAGCTTCACAAAACGCTTATGTTTACAACCCTTAAAAGCACATACGACGGTGATAGTTTATATGATTTAACATATTACTATTTTTCTTACATACAATTATTTCTTTGCTTTAGCAGACATTAATTCATCCAATGGGGTTGTATGGGTTAAAACAATGATGGCTGTGTTTACGTCACAGAGATGGATTATTTTTTTATAAAAGTCTTTGTTTGCGTTCATAACTCATTTACATGAGGGTGAGTAACTGATGAGAGAATTTGTATTTTTGGTTGAGCTATCTCTTTAAGAAAGATAGAATACCTTTCAAGCAGCAAAACATTACGCAAATGTTAGGTTTTTTATTATAAAACAATAGATACGCTGCTCAAAATGAAGAGAAACAGTATTTGGAGGCTTTGTGGTTGTTAAAGGGAAAGTTCACTTTGAAATTAAGTTTTTTGATGTTTTAGCTTACCTCAAGGGCATCCAAGATGTAGGTGTCTTTGTTTTTTGCAGTATTTTCCATTTTGATATTTTTAGGTCAAACCGTTCTTGTCTGTCAGTCATATAATGGAGGTCTATGGTCACCACCTCAAAGAGCATGCACAGAGAAGTCCAAATTAAACACGATTTAATGACTCGTAAATACTGTTCGTTTTCTCACACAAACCGCTCGTTTCGTGTCTTGGGCCGTCAATGTGCACTTACATTTACGAGTCATTAAATCATGTGTAATTTGGACTTCTCTGTGCATGCTCTTTGAGGTGGTGACCATAGACCTCCATTATATGACTGACAGACACGAACGGTTTGAGCTAAAAATATCAAAATTGAAACTACTGTGGAAACAAAGACACCTACATCTTGGATGCCCTTGAGGTAAGCTAAAACATATCAAAAATTAATCTCAAAGTGAACTATCCCTTTAATGTTGATAGTTAATGTGATGAATTACACCTGTGCATGTTCTGCTGGGACAACAGTGTCTTCAGAGGTGAAATATTAGTTTTTCCTATCAGGTTCAGATGTGGTGGATTGGCTGTATCATCACGTCGAGGGCTTCACTGACAGACGGGAGGCACGCAAATACGCCAGCAACCTGTTAAAAGCCGGCTACATCCGCCACACTGTCAACAAGATCACCTTCTCTGAACAGTGCTATTACATCTTTGGGGACCTCTGTGGCAGTGAGTGCATGATCTTTAGTTCTTAGATTTCTCCCCAATCTTTCACGCTAAAGCATCTTTTATTTATTCATTTGGAGTAAACTCTATTTCCCTCCTGTTTGTTCCTCTTCTCTCTCAGATATGGCCTGTCTCACCTTGCATGACCATGACGGTTCTAGTGGGGCGTCTGACCAGGACACTCTGGCTCCGTTGCCCCACCCTGGGGTGGCTCCCTGGCCTCTCACCTTCCCTTATCAGTACCCGATCCCTCACCCGTACAATCCCCATCCTGTGCACGATCCCACATACAGCTTCACTGCAGGGGGCGGCAGCGCCGGTAGCCCTCACAGCGAAGGTGAGGAAGGGCGCTTGGGGCAAAAATACCACCAAAATGAACAAAAATGCCCCTCAGGGTCAAGTAATGCCTCTATACAATTAAACTATATTTATTTACATTTAGATCTAATCCATGTTGTTTCAAGGATTTCTTTTTGCATGGATTTGTTTTTTTAAAAAGCAGTACGCTAGTTCATAAATGGTTCTCAGCTTGATTTACTTGTGTAGTCTAAAATAATTTCCAAAAGAAGATGTCGAGGGCTTGGAGCCAGAGGGGCGTATGTGGCTTTTAACAAACTTTACAAGAGAGAAAAAAAAAAATTTTGACCACACTTCAGTCACCTGTATTATTAACCTTAAACCACAAACACTGCAACCACAGGCATACTTACATGAATGAGTATTTAAGTAAAAAATGTATGGCATTTTAACACAATGAACATGTTCTAAAACATTTTCCCAAAAAAAGTCAAATACGTCAGATACGCCTTTTTGTTGCTTTATTCAATATAGTTTTATCTCAGATAGGTATTTTGGCACCATTGGATAGAGCTCATCGAGACCTTTATTTTGATATAAAGAACTCATATTCGCTCAAAATGCCACTTATTTATTTAGGGGGTTGGGTTCAGCAGAAGAAAGAAATTAATACAGGTTTGGAACAACATGAGGGTGAGAAAATTATGATAGAATTTTTGGGTAAAATTGTTTCAATTCAAGTATTGTACTAAAGAAAACAACACATATATATTAAAGGTACAATATGCAGGATTTTTGCAGTAAAATATCCAAAAACCACTAGGCTAATCTTATATATTTTTTTTAGTTGATTACTTACAATATCCCAAATGTTCACCAAAAGAGCTCACCAAAATTGGACCATTGAAGACTGGAAAAATGTTGCCTGGTCTGATGAGTCTCGATTTCTGTTGAGACATTCAGATGGTAGAGTCAGAATTTGGCGTAAACAGAATGAGAACATGGATCCATCATGCCTTGTTACCACTGTGCAGGCTGGTGGTGGTGGTGTAATGATGTGGGGGATGTTTTATTGGCACACTTTAGGCCCCTTAGTGCCAATTAGGCATCTTTTAAATGCCACGGCCTACCTGAGCATTGTTTCCGACCATGTCCATCCCTTTATGGCCACCATGTCCCCATCCTCTGATGGCTACTTCCAGCAGGATAATGAACCATGTCACAAAGCTCGAATCATTTCAAACTGGTTTCTTGAACATGACAATGAGTTCACTGTACTAAAATGAATCAATGCCACATAGAATTAAGGCAGAACACAGTATTAGTATGGTGTTCATCATCAATATACGCCTTAGAGGTTAGCGACCCCTGGTGGTGAAAAATCTTGCATATTGTACCTTTAAATGATAGGTAATTATTTCCAAAAAAGTGCAAATAATATTCCTTATCCTAACCCTGCATTCTACTCCACCCTTTCAGTGATGGAGTCTCACATTTCCTTTCTTTCATTTCGCGCGCAGGCAGTCGAAGCACCGGCTCGAATCGCAGCGGTAGCAAAAACGAAGTGAACGCAGCGGCTGGAACGCAGGAGTCTGGAGGCCGCTCTGGCAGTGGCAGCGAGTCCGAGAAAAGAGAGAAGGCCCCCAGCGAACGCTCTGCAGCGCCCCCTAGCGAACACAGCGTGCGCAGCTCACACACCATCCGAAGCACCCAGAGCCTGGTGTGCGTACCGCCCGGCCTCCCTCCACAGCCACAGACACCCTCCACAGCAGCCCCGGGCTCTCCTCCAGAACGAGACCTGTCCTCGGTGCCACCCGAACTCACTGCCTCGCGCCAATCCTTCCGCATGGCCATGGGGAACCCCAGCGAGTTCTTCGTCGACGTCATGTGATGTGCTACAGGTGACCCAGAGGGCCGACTCAACATGCGCAGGCATGTGATATCAAGAAAGAAAGATGGGGAGGAAGACCAGAAAGAAATGCATTGACATTTTAGCTGGTGGAGCGCGCCGAGTGTCCCTCCTAACTCTCCTCCTGTGTCCTGTGGCTTGCACTTTCTTCAGTGAAGAAGACTGGAAGAGGTCACGTATCCCATCATGCCCTCAGAGACCAGAGTTCTCTGATTAATGGAGATTCAGTGATGAAGTCTGAGTGAAGGTGAATGCTGGCTGGTTTTTGTGTACTTTTTATGTACTTTACCTGCATTTTATAACATTTTGTCCTCTGACCAGTTTATTATCCTCAAGCTAAGATCTGTTTATCAGTCGAAGATAAACTAATTCAAGCGAAATGAAAGAAAAGCATGAGACACGGGGAAGAAAAGTGAGGTAATCTTCTACTTCTAAATCATTTTTTTGCTTTTTAAAGGATGAACAAATCATTTTTAATGATTTAAAAAAAGACAAACGCTATCAAAAGATAGAATCTTTGGCAATTATTTACTATTTATGACTTTAATTTTCTGCTAATAATTGTGGAGAGTGAGAGAGAGAGAGTTAAAAAAGAGAGTTTTTAAGTTTACAGACAGGACTTTTAAAGTCTGCCTTACCTTCGGGTTAAAATGAATTTATTAAACATGATACATGACGTTTTTTTGTTTTTGTTTCTAATAACGTGAACCATTGAATTCTGCACAATAAGACCAGGGACTTTTATTAATAAGTAGCTCAAGTCAAATATGATTTGATGTTGATTTAAAGAAATTAATTTGGGAGATATTCAGTCCTGTACTGTTATTCTTTGTAATATTCTACCTGTATTATGTGTGGAGATCAAAAGATCAAAATGGACCTTTAATGTTTCTATATTATCAGCACCCCTGAATGAACCTGATGATGATGCACTATTATAATGTGATGAAGAGCAGCTCTCTTCACTCTCTCACTCTTCCCCAAACAACACAGTACTTAATATGTTGATGTTTGTCATCATTAACTATCAGCACTCAGCTTTATTGTTTCTCTGTAAACCTTTGATCATTTTTCTCAGATGCATTTATCACATGTTTAATTATTGGAAAACAGTATTAAATGGTTCAGTTTAATACTCACTGTACACTGTTTTATGACAAAACAAATGGTTTTATTTATAAATATAGTTTATTGCCTAAAGACTGTGTGTGGATCTTTCCTGAGTCCTGAGCTCGAGGGACGTCAGCTGATTTCGACTCACACTTTGTTTTAACGTGGTAGAGAATGATGGGTGGATTTTTGCTCATAGAGAATGTTTTCCCACAATGATTCTGACTGTCGGCCGTAGTTTAATGGTTGAAAAAAGTATTTTGTTCTCTTTGGCTGTCAGAAGAGCTGTTCTATGATTTACATTTTCACAGTATCAAAAGAAGATCCAGGGACAAGCTGTAATTTATATACAACTCAGAATGAACCAAATGAAGCGTCTCGAGGTGGTGTATAAAGGTTTGCCTTTCAGAGCAAAACAGAACATGCTTCACATCCTGTAACCCAAAGAATGAAACTTCAGCACGTGTCCTCTCATCCTAAACTTCCATTATTTTTGCAAAGTATTGGGGTTTTTTTGGCAGCTAAGGCTAAAACGTTCCCCAGACATCCACTAATGTGTTTTTCTGAAACGTATAAGAGGTTCCAACAACAAGGAGCGATGTTACTTTAATAAACCATGGGGGCCTGAATTCATTTTGCTCTTAAAAATGTCTTGGATTCCAGAAGCACAAAAAGAGGAGGAGCAAAAGCCAGCACAAAATCTGAAAACTTACAGTGCCTAAGAAAATGATATGAGCTGTAACCCTCGATTCAATCACACCGAGAAAAACTCTCCTCCAACACACATACACACACATCTGGAGTCAAATCACACCCATTCTTCCTAGTTAATTTACACAAAACTTAAAGAAAGAAAGAAAAAGAAGGATGTGATGCCTTTCATATCATGAAACCAATGTGTGTTTCCAAAATCTTGTCCATGTGGGGACATTTTTTGGTCTCCATGAGGAAAACAGCTTAGCTATAAATCATAGTTGTGTTTTTTTGAAAATGTAAAAACGTAGTACGTTTTCTGTGATGTGTTTGTACAGTATAAAATCATTATGTCTATAGAAAATCCCCATAAAACATGGAAGTGTGTGTGTTATGTTTAGTGATAGGGCATAGAATAGAATATGTTTGTACTAAAACCATTATGTCTATGGAGAGTCCACTCCCCACGAAGACGGCGAAAACGAGTGTGTGTGTGTATGTGTGTGTTGTGTGCGTGTCAGCTGACGGCAGCAGAGAGCGAGAGGGAGGGAGCAGCGGGCGACATCTTGGATTCATGAGTGAACGGTGACCGCATCCTAAAACACCAAATACTCTCAATAACTCTGAGCTTCGGTCAGAACCGAACACATCTGTCTCTGCTGAGCTGAGCCGGTTCGGTCCGGTCCGGTCCGGTCCGGAGGGAGACACCGAGACAGACACGCAGAGGTGAGTGAGTGAGTGACTGAAGACACCGGTCCGGTCAGTCGTGACACAACCGAGCTGGGCTAGTTAGCTTAACCAGCTAATTAGCCGGAGTCGGGTTGTTTTACCTAAAATTGTCTTATGGAAATATGTTAAATGAATAACGTGGATTAGTTATGATCCGTTTTTTTTTTTTAAAGAAAACATAATATGCTTAAAATCTTGATGTCTGTGCGTTTGAATGGGAAGAGCGGCTAGCGTCACATAACGTTAACATACTTCTACAGATTAATCATTTGCGTGTATTCAGATAAACATTTTACATTAAATAATCAAATCTGTTTTTTTTTTTCATAATACTATCATATCTAACTTATACTGTTTGTTAGTGTCTTAGACAGACGGTCCGCAGTGGGCTGGTCGGCTCAATCCGCAAACATGATGGATGCGGCAGATTATTAACGTTATGATTAAAATCATCATTGGAAATAATACAAAACATTATAATATCCCGGCCAGCATTGCCATGTGAACTCTTCTATTTTTGCATCAGCGGCCATCATGGATGCAATAGAGCTGAGAATGACATCATCATCAAAATATGCATCATATTCGAATGGATATTCTGATATATTGGTGTCCCAATTACTAATATTGTTGTGTCGAGTTGGTTGTAATTTTGTGTACAAGAACTCACTATATATCAATATTAATTTCACTCAATTTAATGTTTAGGCTCATTTTGGTTTAGAATTACATGAACTGTTATCTGTTCCTTTTGTTTTTCCACCTTGTTGAATGGCAAGGGTCCTGTCGTCCAGAGAGATGAGTGTGTCAATGTCACTTTAACCCTGTAAAGCCTGACATGAAATAATACTCAAATATTGAACCTTTACAAAATATAAAAGTTTGCATGTTTTGTATCATATTTGATAGGCTACATCAGGCTTTTATTATAGTATGATGTGAGAATATGGAGCTCATACCCAAGGAGGCGCAAATCACCATTTAATTCAGTGGACAAAACTGAGGAGAATTATGCAATTTGGTGCAAAATGTTGCTATTTAGGATATATGGCCCAAAATTAAGATGACATTTTTTGATATCTATAGCTTATAATGTAAATCCATGAGTCTTCATAAGACTATAACGGACTACTTCTGTAAAATGCAAGTAAAACGTCTTTTACTTGCTGGAAAAGAACTATCAATCAAAAGGCATGTACTGTTTTCTGATAAGTTTAGTGGTCTTAGAAGTTGATGTTTGAAATATGATTTAATAGGCTTAATTTGATTAAGCATTGGTCTATTAAATGAGTTTGAGTGCAGGATTGGTTCATTTAGTGAGGTCTTGAAGCTCTAAATTGACTCCAAATTGAAAATTCAGTCATTTGTTCATCATCATTTTCTAAATACAAACAGCTTCAAGTGAATTTCAGCTACTTCCCAACTTTATAATGGGAGTGGAGAGTTTTTGAATCTCCAAAAAAGCGCATCCATTCATCATAAAAGCAATCTACACGTCTCCATGCCTTCTGAAGCGAAGCGATGGGTTTTTGTTAAAGATATATTTAAAACTTTATAAACAATAATCGCTGCCTTCTGGCAACGGCCGTATGCTCGTTCAAAAGAGAGTTGACTTGAGGGCGAGGAAATTATGGTGCAATTTTCATTTTTGGTTGATCTATTGCTTTAATCATGCGATCTGATGAAAGAACATTCGCATTTATGTTGGTGCGGTATACTCATTTAGACTGGATTTTTCAGTAGCTTGATTACTATAAGGTGTAAACAGAGAGGATTGTAGGAGCAGGGTATTAGAGGAAGATCTCCATGTGTTTTCAGCATCTTTGTGGTTGAGTTTTTTTAATCTCTTGTTTAGCCTTAAAGGGACACTCCACCCATTTGCGTTAAGATTTCCATTGATTTCTGTAAAGACAACAAGAACTAGTTCCCACCCTTTCAAACCCGCCCATAGAGGCTTGGACCTAATGCGCTAACAGACCTATCACAGATCAGTGCGTTTGATTTCACCGGCAGAAACTTTTTGAAAATATGGCCAAAGGTACTGAATACGCAGACGGATGCATTATGGATAGGGTTCGGTACAGAAACACAGTGCCAATAGGGATCCGGTTCCAACGTAAACGGTAATAACCAGACCAAATAAGAATGAAAATTCCGGTGCCTGAGTCTCTGCATCATGAGGCGCACACATGCAAAGTCTCTCTCCCTCTCCCTCGTGCATGCACTATACGATTTGGGGCACAGTCTGATCTGTCTCGCATGCGCGCTCTCGCTCGCTTGCTCTAGAATCTAGGAGATTTTAACTCATTTACGGCATCAGGGAGGCGTTATCAATATGAGAGAGACTCCTGGAACGTCTGATAGTGAGTAGAGCCCGACCGATAAAGGATTTTGAAGGCCGATACCGATACAAATATTTTTGGGTTTTAAATTCCGATATTCCGATATATCTGCCGATATTTTATTTACTTTATTTATTTATTTATTTATTTTAAACTGGACATGATAGTCACAAATTTTGTCATGCTTATTTGAGTTGAGAGAACTGATGGGGTTGTTCTTTTAATTGTTATTCAAGCAATGTATGTATCGTGACCAACTCAAAGAGTGTTGCCAACAGGAACGGTGTAGAGTGCCCTCTGGTGGACAAACTATACAACTCCAACACTCATGACATGGTTCAAGCGTGTTTCGTCCGTTTTTATTTTATTTTTAAAAATATTAATTTATTAATTAATAATATTAATTATTATTAATAATTATTAATTAAAAATTAATATTAATTTATAATATTAATTATAACTGCCGATACCGATAGTTTGGAAAATGCCTAATAACGGCCGATAATATCGGTCTGCCGATATATCGGTCTGGCTGGAATAGCGAGGGGATTAATGAAGATGGCCAAGACAAAACGCTCCAAGGTTTGGCTGCACGCGTAAAATTTCGCGTCAGAGTAAGTGTGCCGATTGTCTTAAGCTCATATAGAATCACTCCAATTTATTGTCTGATGGTGCGGCGCCGCCTTGACACTCTTACATCGTCATTTTATAGTAGCGCACATTATCTGATTCCATTGTGCGAAATGATTTCCAGGCGGTAGCATAGAGTGAAGCTCAACTCTAGTCTATATTGATGGGCGGAGTAGTGGGAGTGGCCTGTGGAGCTGAGCATTGCAATGCACTATGGGGATAGTTGTCTACAATCCACAAGCTCTAAAAAGTCATTTTCTGCCTTTTAGCGGCCAAGAAGGACCCAAATTAAAAATTTATGAAACTATTCTACTACATATATGACCCACTTTCAATACATATTCATGTCTCCACTGGTGGAATTACCCTCTAAGGGAGAGATTTTTATTTATTTATTTATTCTCGATTTTTTTTTTAATTGTTTTTTTTTTATTTAAACTCAAAGCAATTGGTCAAATATCTTTTCAATGACTGACAGCTTGGCTCTGCCTCTTTATTCAGTTTTAGAAAATGGCCCGTGAACACTGAGCAAGGCCACCACCATGATCGGAGGACTCTTCATCTACAACCACAAGGGCGAGGTGCTGATCTCCCGTGTCTACCGTGATGACATTGGGTAAGTCAGGGTGGTTTGTGAAACGTGCGTGTGGTTGTGTTTAGAAAATAGTCTTTAATTGCTTCAACAGGAAGTAGATATGAGCTTGTTCATTTCAGCTCCTATCATTTGTTTGGCTTCTGTGGGAATAATTGCACTCAAATATGTGTGTTTTTCCCACCTGCACCTTCAGTAGGGATATAAAGAAAAAGCAGAGAGTGAGATCATATAAAGAGGACTTCTAGAACACGGCCCCTGATTGTGTGGAAGTTCCGTTCTGGAATATTCAGGCAATCGTCTAGTCATGGTCCGTACAGAGAAGGGTTGCTATGGATACAGTGGGTCTGTACATCGCTGCCAACTCGTACTGTCGCAGTGTGTGTGTTCATGCACGCATGCAGGGCTGTGTGAGAAAGAGAGACCATTCGGTGAAGTCGCAGTGCGTGTGCATGTCGAGCATGCCTGGAGGAAAGGGAACTCTAGGATGGAGAAGAGAGAGGGGATGAAAACGTGTATGTAGTAAGGCTGTGCGATATTGACAAAAACTGGGATTTTGTAGAGAACGATGATCAGATGATATTTTGCTGAGTGTGTTGTGTTATTGTGATGGCACCATGGCGGGTTTAGGACTGCCGTGAACAGCTGACTCCTGAAGTTTTTGTTTTTCTTCATGTTTTGTGCGGTTGTTTCGCAGCAGTGATAAAAATACAGTTTTCCAATACGTTTACCTCTTATCTGCATTTATTGAGGGCATTTCTTTCTTACCTTATGTCAAATGATTACATTTATTCAATAAATTCATTTAGAATAAGACGCTATAGGGCTGTTACCAATCAAATGATATCAGTAAGTATGAACAAAATCATCATCTTTGTAATGCAGAGGAAACACAGAAGCTACATCTGAAGTGGGATTTAGATTTAACAGACTGTTTAATGCAGCTTAGAGGTGATATAAATGGATTTAACCTGCAGTTATAAATGCATAAATAATGTTTTAATGTTTTAAAAATAAAACTGGTGAGCAGAACGAGGTTGAGGGACGTGAAAGAACGCCACCGGCCTCGTTCTGCTCGCCACTAAAACATTGATATGTGAAATGATTTTAAAATTGAAAAGATACTTTAAAGGGTTAGTTCACTCAAAAATGAGAATGATGTCATTAATGACTCTCCCTCATGTCGTCCCAAGCTCTTGAGACCTCCGTTCATCTTCGGAACACAGTTGAGTTTAAGATATTTTAGATTTAGTCCGAGAGCCTCCATTGAAAATGTGTGTTTGGTATACTGTCCTTGTCCAGAAAGGTAATAAAGACATTATCAAAGTAGTCCATGTGACATCAGTGGGTTAGTTGCAATGTTTTGAAGCATCGAAAATACATTTTGCTCCAAAAATAACAAAAACTCCCGACTTTATTCAGCATTGTGTTGTCTTCCGGTTCTGTTGTGTATCCGCGTTCAGTGACGCTGCTGGTGCGCCCGAGCTTTGTTCACAGTCTGAGGGAGACGCACACTGTACAAAACAATCTTCACAAACATGTTTAAGGATTTCCACACAGAGGAAGACTTGCATTTTTTTTGCCCAGCCATATTTATTTGAACCCGAATACACGGACGCACCAGATACACGTCAGCAGCGTCACTGCGGACTCGTGAACGCGCGAACCGAACAGACACAACAGAACCGGAAGACAAAACAATGCTGAATAAAGTCGTACTTTTTTTTATTTTTGGACCAAAATGTAACTGGTAACTAACTGGTCACGTGGACTACTTTGATGATGTCTTTATTACCTTTCTGGACAAGGACAGTATACCGGACACACATTTTCAATGGAGGCTCTCGGACTAAATCTAAAATATCTTAAACTGTGTTCCGAAGATGAACAGAGGTCTTACGGGCTTGGGACGAGTGAGGGTGAACCATTTAATGACATAATTTTCATTTTTGACCGAACTAACCCTTTAAAATAAACCCTTTAAAACCTACAGAAGGTGGCGGCAATGAGCGGTTAATGGCCGAATCATTGAGTCATTCCTTCAAATGGTCTTCCTGCAGGAGGAATGCGGTGGATGCGTTCCGTGTGAACGTGATCCACGCGCGTCAGCAGGTGCGCTCGCCCGTCACCAACATCGCCCGCACCAGCTTCTTCCACGTCAAGCGCTCCAACATCTGGCTGGCTGCCGTCACCAAGCAGAACGTCAACGCAGCCATGGTGTTCGAGTTCCTCTACAAGATGTGTGACGTCATGACCGCCTATTTCGGCAAGATCAGCGAGGAGAACATCAAGAACAACTTTGTTTTGATCTACGAGCTTCTAGACGGTAAGATGACTCCCTTTTCCATTCAGCAGAATTACCCTCGCGTTATTATCCTTGACTGTAACGCTGGTTATACTGCAGTTCCCTTCTCTGCCAGGTCCAGACACGAACTCTCCCGCATCTGTTGTGCTGTTGTTTTTTTAGGTTTTGATTTTTATGAAATGTTGATGAGAAAATCGAAGCCTAAAGAAAATACGGCACAGACAGACGGACGTCTCCTCTGCTCCCTGTGATATGGATGCTGTTGATTATGAGATATGGATGCTGTTCACATTTATTTATAGAGTGCTTCATACAATGCAGATTGTTTGTTTCACAGCAGCTGCATAGTAAAAAACAGGAAAATATTAAAGTTAATTCAAAGTTAATCAGTTATGAAACGCCTTCAATTTCAGCTGTAAAGCAGCTTTACAGGACTGTGTCGTGACTGATTATATTGTACCATAACCTTAAAATCCCTTGTGATACCTGATGTTTAAAGGAGTAGTTCACTTTAAAAAAAACTTTTGCTGATAATTTACTCACCCCCATGTCATCCAAGATGTCCAAGTCTTTCTTTCTTCAGTCGAAAAGAAATTAAGGCTTTTGATGAAAACATTCCAGCAGTTTTCTCCATATAATGGACTTCAATGGGAACCAAACGGTTCAAGGTCCAAATGAGAGTTTCAGTGCAAACTGTTCAAAGGGCTTTAAACGACACCAGACGATGAATAAGGGTCTTATCAAGTGAATGATTGCTCATTTAAAAAAAGAAATAACAAAGTTTAAGTTTTGTAAGCTCAAATGGTGACCTTGCTAAAAAAAAATTTAAAAGATAAGAGTTGTATTTGAATCTGGTTGTGACTCCCAGAATCGGATCAGTGAGGTGCCTAAAGCTTCCCAATGGCTGTGCTAACAGGCATGGACTTGAAGAGCAATGCTGCTGTATTAGTACCACACACACATACTCATAGTTTTTCTTTTTGGCCTCACTGCAGAGATCCTTGATTTTGGGTACCCCCAGAACTCTGAGACCGGAGCCTTAAAGACCTTCATTACTCAGCAGGGTATTAAGAGCCAGGTACGTCCTGCTTGACACTCCAGCATATGGGTCGTTTGTTTTTACTAATGAAAATGGACACTGTTAATGTACCTTTAGCAGTTTATGGAGCACTGCCTTTATTGAAGCATGTGGAAACTGAACTTTGTGTTAATGTTTCTGACCCCCTCGTCTTCACATCACCGCTCACCACGTGACTGATGACCTGTGACTCACCGCGTCCAGCATCATGTAAGCACAGTTATTCTTTTACAGTGCTAGAGTTCAGTAATGGCATTTTTGTAGGCCAGCCTGGAAGTTAGCATCACTCTGGTTCCCTCAATTTCCATTGGCTTTTAGATTATTGCAAAAAATTACTTTTGCAGAAGATGAACACGATAGGGATGCTCATGATTAACTGGTTAACTGACAGTAAGAATTTTGACTGATTAATACTCTTGGTTAAACTGTTCAATTTAAAATCATTAAGCATTATAAAGACTACAAACATCCCCTCTTGTCACAAATTATTATTATTATTATTATTATTTTTTTTTCAATTAAATGCCATTCAGAACAAAACGAGAATGAAAAATAAACTTTTTAAACAAATGAATTTAAAGCGAGACCTGTGCTGGACTCACATAGACAACCTTTTTCATTCGGAACATATTCAAATGTTTCCATATTCGCATATCTGAATGCAAACTATTATATATTTATATAAACTAGGCTTTGAACTTCACTCATGTTCCAATATCCATGTAAAACATTATCCTCGTCCGTCACAAAAATGAACCAAAACTCAGCTTAGCCTACTATTTTTTTTCTTTCATTTAGTTAATTTAAGTGAATTATCTTTTGCGCATGTATTATGATTGTACAGTTTTTCTCTCTTTACAGAAGCGCTGCAGGTGGATGATGTGACGAATCTGTTTAACTGTTGTTTGTTGCAGTCACATGACATCACCAGCATTAAGCTTCTGGCAACTCTTTATTTTAAAAAAACATTCCCTGAAAGGTTGAGTTCTAATAGTTTTCTAGGGCCAATTATAAAGGCCGGATGCGAAAGCGACTTGTAAATAGATGAGTTTTATTGTTCGGTATGACGACGTTAATGTCCCCGACAATCTCTATTGTCCGATTTAGAAGCTTTAAATAAAATCACAAAATTGTGTATTTTATGATGTTGAATACCGGTAAAACATGAAACTATTTTGAGCTTGTTCATCACTGACCTTATTTCAGGCGTTTAACCAAAAACCCATTCAACAAACCCGTTGACCATGGAGCCAGAAGTGCTAAAATTATAAATTGTTTCCAGGTTTTGGCCAACAAAAGTGTCATCCCTGCAGCGCTTTATACCTCACATTTATATTTTCAATGATATTTTTCCACAACGCCTCATAATGTGTAATATACAAATAGTCTGGCTTGTTTGTTTTTTTTTGGCTTTGCTAATGTTTTTCTTGCACGTTCCTCTCAGACGAAAGAGGAGCAGTCTCAGATTACCAGTCAGGTGACTGGACAGATCGGCTGGAGACGTGAAGGCATCAAATATCGCCGCAATGAACTCTTCCTGGATGTACTGGAAAGTGTGAACTTGCTGATGTCACCTCAGGGTGAGTGTTCCTGTCTTCTACTGGCCAAATAGTTACAGTGCACTCATGGTTGAGAATTACAGTACTACCAATTTTACTCTCATCCGTCTCTGGGTCCACCCAAAGCACTTAACAATCATATCTGAGGTCTCTCCTCAACCACCACCAGTGTGTAGCATCCATAAAAGCGGCACCAGTGCCCTCACCACACACCAGCTACAGGTGGAGAGGAGTGATAGAGGCAATTGACCTATGGCTAAGCCACGCCCCCTCCACTCATTCGGACACACGGTCAACATTTGGGGATAGGCGCTATAGCAGCGGTCACAGTAGGAGACATTGCACTGGAGGCAATTGGTGATTTTTGGAGTCAGAAAGATTATATATCATCTCGAAGTCACCTAAAGAGCCTCATCTATGCATTGGAGGGTTATATTAATCATTTTATAGTTGAAGTTCGATGAAAAGCTTCAGCTCCAGAAAAAAAATGTACAGGTCACAGTGTAAAGTGATAAACCGCATATCGTTGCCATCGCCGTTTGGTGCTACAGTATTTACATGAATCATTCAGAACAACATTGTTAACATTTGTTATCTCAGTTATTTACAGATAGGTTAATGAAGCCAAGCGATATGTACAACACAGCTAGAAGCTAATGTTAAGGTTTTCTAATGTTAGGCTAACGTTACGTTAGACATTTTAAAGATAACGTTCAAATACATTGAATTAACTTAGAACAGATGTAGACCTCCTTGTTTAATTTATCCACGTTTAGTTGGTGTTTTGGTCTACCGCATAACTTAATCCAGAGCAGACACTTATCTCGGTTGAGATGTGGCTTGGGAAAGGGTAAAAGAAATACACACCGTCGCTCAGCCTCTCGGGAACCTAGTGTCGGAGCTGTATGTACCCCATGCACACCGTTTGACCATTTTAAACTTAAAATGACAAGAAAAAACGAATTAAAATTGACTAACTGCAATGCATTTCGAAGAAGAGAAAGTTTGAGTGTATTGGGTTAGCTGCGCACTGTGATTGGCTCATCGCGTTTGAGGGCGTGGCTTAGCTATAGGTCGATTCAATGGATTGATAAGGGCCAATGGAGGGAATTTGGCCAGGATCCCTACTCTTTACAAGAAGTGTTTTTTTAATGACCACAGAAAATGAGGATCTCGGTTTAACATCTTATCCGAAGAATGGTGTTTGTTACAGTAAAGTGTCCCTGTCCCCTGCTAGCCTCACTAACACCTCTCCCAGCACCACCCTAGTTTTCCCATCCAGGCTCACCCCGGTATGATATAGCTGTGGCGATAGTGATTGAAGTCTGTGTGTGTGTGTGCAGGTCAGGTGTTGAGTGCCCATGTGTCAGGGCGTGTGGTGATGAAGAGCTACCTGAGTGGAATGCCAGAGTGCAAGTTCGGCATGAACGACAAGATCGTCATCGACAAGCAGGGCAAAGGTGGCACTACTGATGACACAGTCAAGAGGTGAGTTGGATGGCACTCATATGGATATATATGAGGGCTGCTGTGGTGAGAAAACCGTTCAACAAGAGGTGGTTGTTTTTTATTTACTAACTGCCATATAAAATAATAAAACTATAATAAATCTAACATTAGCCTTTGATGTCTATTTCACAAACCTCCTGCAGTTCTAACATGAGCCCCTAGAGGCTCACAAACCCACATTTGAGAACCCAAATAAAAAAATTCAATAAAAAAAGAGTTAACAATTGACTGCACTGCTGATATATATTTTAATATCTCTCCACTCCAACCACTTCTCAAATAGTTATAGTTTTCAGTCACGTGATTGGCGCAGAGACCTGGAGGTTAAAACATTTACAGAACTAGGCCTGTAAATTTTTCATTTTTCAAGCCACGAATATTTAGATCACCTCTCAAGATATGTGAACAGACTGCAAGTTTTGGGCACTTGCAATCCATATTCAGCTCCTGCTGCAGTGAAAACAGCTTACTGTGAAAACATTTAACATGGCCTAATGTACTAAGACAGTGATATTATATATTGAATTTGATATAATATCACCGTCTTAGTACATTGATGATACATACTATATGCTATGGAAGCTTATTTCCGCCCCTGAATAAAAAATAATAATAATAATTGCGACTTTTTATAATAGTTAATAATAATAAGTCAGAATTGCGTGATATCAAGTCAGAATTGTGAGAAAAAGACTTACTTTTTTGTCTCACAATCGCGGGTTTACATCTCGCAATTCTGACTCTATATCTCGTAATTGTGACTTTATATCATGCATTTCTGACTTTATAACATGCAATTGCGACTTTATATCACGCGATTCTGACTTTATATCTCGCAATTCTGACATTATCTTGCAATTGTGAGAAAAAAAGTCAGAATTGTGAGATAAAAGACTTACTTTTTTGTCTCACAATAGCGAGTTTACATCTCGCAATTCTGACTCTATATCTCGTAATTCTGACTTTATATCTTGCAATTGTGAGAAAAAAAGTCAGAATTGTGAGATAAAAGACTTACTTTTTTGTCTCACAATAGCGAGTTTACATCTCGCAATTCTGACTCTATATCTCGTAATTGTGACTTTATATCATGCATTTCTGACTTTATAACATGCAATTGCGACTTTATATCTCGCAATTCTCACTTTATATCACGCGATTCTCACTTTATATCTCGCAATTCTGACATTATCTTGCAATTGCGACTTTATATCTCGCAATTCTCACTTTATATCACGCGATTCTGACTTTATATCATGCAATTGCGACTTTATATCTCGCAATTCTCACTTTATATCACGCGATTCTGACTTTATATCATGCAATTGCGACTTTATATCTCGCAATTCTCACTTTATATCATGCATTTCTGACTTTATAACATGCAATTGCGACTTTATATCTCGCAATTCTCACTTTATATCACGCGATTCTCACTTTATATCTCGCAATTCTGACATTATCTTGCAATTGCGACTTTATATCTCGCAATTCTCACTTTATATCACGCGATTCTGACTTTATATCATGCAATTGCGACTTTATATCACGCGATTCTGACTTTATATCTCGCAATTCTGACATTATCTTGCAATTGTGAGAAAAAAAGTCAGAATTGTGAGATAAAAGACTTACTTTTTTGTCTCACAATAGCGAGTTTACATCTCGCAATTCTGACTCTATATCTCGTAATTCTGACTTTATATCTTGCAATTGTGAGAAAAAAAAGTCAGAATTGTGAGATAAAAGACTTACTTTTTTGTCTCACAATAGCGAGTTTACATCTCGCAATTCTGACTCTATATCTCGTAATTGTGACTTTATATCATGCATTTCTGACTTTATAACATGCAATTGCGACTTTATATCTCGCAATTCTCACTTTATATCACGCGATTCTCACTTTATATCTCGCAATTCTGACATTATCTTGCAATTGCGACTTTATATCTCGCAATTCTCACTTTATATCACGCGATTCTGACTTTATATCATGCAATTGCGACTTTATATCTCGCAATTCTCACTTTATATCACGCGATTCTGACTTTATATCATGCAATTGCGACTTTATATCTCGCAATTCTCACTTTATATCACGCGATTCTCACTTTATATCTCGCAATTCTGACATTATCTTGCAATTGCGACTTTATATCTCGCAATTCTCACTTTATATCACGCGATTCTGACTTTATATCATGCAATTGCGACTTTATATCTCGCAATTCTCACTTTATATCACGCGATTCTGACTTTATATCATGCAATTGCGACTTTATATCTCGCAATTCTCACTTTATATCATGCATTTCTGACTTTATAACATGCAATTGCGACTTTATATCTCGCAATTCTCACTTTATATCACGCGATTCTCACTTTATATCTCGCAATTCTGACATTATCTTGCAATTGCGACTTTATATCTCGCAATTCTCACTTTATATCACGCGATTCTGACTTTATATCATGCAATTGCGACTTTATATCTCGCAATTCTCACTTTATATCACGCGATTCTGACTTTATATCATGCAATTGCGACTTTATATCTCGCAATTCTCACTTTATATCATGCATTTCTGACTTTATAACATGCAATTGCGACTTTATATCTCGCAATTCTCACTTTATATCACGCGATTCTGACTATATCTCGTAATTCTGACTTTATATCTCGCAATTGTGAGAAAAAAAAGTCAGAATTGTGAGATAAAAAGTCGCAATTACCTTTTATATTTTTCATTCTATGGCGGAAACAAGCTTCCATAATATACAGGCAAGCACATGAATTCAGAGCATCCCTAAAAAAATAATTTTACATCAATGGAAAATGCTTAACGTTAAACTTGAACTGTGCTCATACCTTTACAATAGCATGTTTTATTAATAACGTGTGTACTGAGTTTAGTCCTTGGTTTTCTATGGGAAAACTCTTAACATGGAAGTTGTGTAGCATTCATATGCTTGTCTGTATATAGTATGCATCATCAATAAGGTGTTTACTGAGTTAAGTCTTTTGTTTAGTACATACCTGATGGGAAGTAGAGGAATGCTTTGTTTTTCCCTCCATGTGGGCATTACTATAAGCGTGTAACGTCTAAGAATAGGAACTTTTCACAGTACATTCAATTCCTGACTAATTGAATGTTTTGTTTTACTTGGAAGTGCATCGCTTTGTTGAAGTAAAGCCGTTTCATGTCGACTTTAAGGACTAAATCATTTATAGGATATGCTATAATCAGATTTCTCACCGTAATTTTTGATAAGGCCAAACGAGCACCCATTAGTGCAAAAGTGCTGAAAGCTAAGATGAGCCGTGAAGTGCAGAACATTTGGACACGATAATTACAGGAAGTCTCACGAGGAGCAAATTCGTTCTCCCTGGTTCCATTAGTCTCTCTCTCTCTCTCTCTCTCTCCCCCGTTGCCTTTTGTGCTGGTAGGTATTTGTATCTTTACTGAGGAATGTTTTATTCTGAGGTGCCGTTTGTTTTAGCTCTTTATTTTTTCCATTTTTTTCTGTTGATTTGTGTGCCTCTCTCCTCTCTCCCGCTGGACTTCAGTGAGTTGGGAGGCAGGTAGTGTAACTCACTCCGGACATCACCTGATCTATCACCTTCACTCAGTCCTGTCTTAGCTGTCCTTGTGTCATGCCATCAAACGTCTCAGTAAAGATGATCTTTTTGCATGGGATGACGCTGCCTTGGCCTCCTGATATGTGAGTGAGGTGTTTAGCAGCTCTAAGTGAAGGAGCGTAGCTTTTTCTTTAGTTCATTTGTCTCGTCTCATACCGACAGTCTTTCCCCTGTCTTGTTTTACTGAAGAACCTCTTACCTGACCTGACAGCCACTCTCATTAGAGTCTGTGTTAAAGTTGATATCTTTTCTTGTGACCCCTCAAACGCCTCTGACCACAGCATAATGCTGTATTTCTTCTAATCTGGTATCGGCGAATCACAGACCTTGTACTTTTGTTGTGGTCACAGTGCTAAAGCAAACACCCTTCCCAATATAATGGCAGTATAAAAGACATGATGATGTGCATTCTGGGTAATGGAGGTTGGCGGTATGACCAAAATCTAATCTTGCATAATCTAATAACTCTATGTATTGCAATATATACTACTATTCAAAAGTTTAAGGGTCAGTAGGATATTTTTGAAAGCAATGAATACTTTTGTTCTGTTAAATCAAAATGTATTGATCAAAATAAATAGTTTTCAATGATGATAATAAAATAATGTTTCTTTAGCAGCAAATCTGCATATTAGAATGATTTCTAAAGGATCATGTGACAGTTTAATGGAGTAATGATGATGAAAATTCAGCTTTGTATCCTGGGAATAAATTACATTTTAAAATATATTACAATTGAAAGATATTTATTTAAAATTGCAATAATATTTCGCAATACAACTGTTTGCTGATAATTTATTCGATATATATATATATATATATATATATATATATATTAAATCAAATAAATGCAGCATTGGTATGAGATCTTTATTGACGCCAAAACTTTTGAAGAAATCAAGTAAAAATGGTTTAGAATACACTATTATTTTACAATGTCGTTGTTACACGTAAAGCGTAACCTGGTTTAGATATTGAATAAGACATGTTTTTTTTTTTTTTTTGATAATTCACTGAATGAAAAATACTTAATCTAATTTATTTTGGATTTACTCGGTTATGTTATTGCAACAAACTAATGTCACATTATACGACACGAGTACACAAAACAAACTTAACTTTAAATTCTAAATGTTATGAAGTACTCCACGTACCAATTCAAATCTCCATTAAAGCATTAAGTTGCGAGGTTGCTTGACAATCGTGAACGATGTAAAATGCCTAACAACACATCTTAACACATTTTGACTTGTTTGGGACACGTCACACTTTGTATTTTCACATTATTCATCACTAACATTTTAATACATAAAGTAGCCCTTCTCACCAATAGCCATCTAAATATATGTCTTGCGTTATATCAAAATCTCTACCAGTTGACTCTTTTCTACCGTCACGCAGTGTATAATCTCATGCCGCCCACCCTTAATGAGTAATGTGTGTGTCTCTCTGTGGTCTCTGCTCGTTGCTTCATTGTTGTTTCTCTCCTGCTGCAGTGGGAAACAGTCCATTGCGATCGACGACTGCACGTTCCACCAGTGTGTCCGTCTCAGCAAGTTTGACTCCGAGCGCAGTATTAGCTTCATCCCTCCCGACGGAGAGTATGAGCTCATGAGGTCAGTGAAGAGTGTGTGTGTATGTCTGTGCTGTGAGACACACATCCGCAAGCACACAATGACAGTGGCTTTGTCTCAGGTACCGCACCACTAAAGACATCATCCTCCCCTTCCGCGTAATCCCATTGGTCCGTGAGGTGGGCCGCACCAAGCTGGAGGTGAAGGTGGTGATCAAGTCCAACTTCAAGCCCTCCCTCTTGGCACAAAAGATAGAGGTGAGACGTACAGCAGAAATAACCTTCATTAGTCTTAAAGGGATAGTTCACTTTCAAATACATTTTTGGTATGTTTTAGCTTACCTCAAGGGCATCCAAGATGTAGGTGTCTTTGTTTCCACAGTATTTTCAATTTTGATATATTTAGGTCAAAGCGTTTTTGTCTGTCAGTCATATAATGGAGGTCTATGGTCACCACCTCAAAGCGCATGCACAGAGAAGTCCAAATTAAACATAATTTAATGACTCGTAAATTTAAGTACACATTGATGGCCTGAGACACGAAACGAGCGGTTTGTGTGAGAAAACAAACAGTATTTATATCGTTTTTACCTCTTGTAAGCACAGCCACGTCCAAGTGATCTGAGAGCGCGGGCGCTTTGGTCAGCGCAAGCACCGGAAAGCGCCGGAAGAGATCTCTCACGCTTAAAATCGAGAATCGGGAAAGCGTTATCTTTTACTGTGAAGATCTAAACATATTTAGATATACAGGAAATCGCAATGGAAGACGATATCGATATATCAACAGACAACGATGAATTTTTTTCCGCAACCACGCAAGAGATCACTTCCGGCGCTTTCCAGCACTGTGGTTACAAGAGGTAAAAACAATATAAATACTGTTCGTTTTCTCACGCAAACCACTCGTTTCGTGTCTTAGGCCATTAATGTGTACTTACATTTACGAGTCATTAAATCATGTTTAATTTGGACTTCTCTGTGCATGCGCTTTGAGGTGGTGACCATAGACCTGCATTATATGACTGACAGACAAGAACGGTTTGACCTAAAAATATCAAAATTGAAAATACTACGGAAACAAAGACACCTACATCTTGGATGCCCTTGAAGGAAGCTAAAACATACCAAAAATTCATTTCTAAGTGAACTATCCCTTTAAGATGACTGATGGAAGTGCTATATTGGTTGTAAATGTTGTGTAAATCACTGTTGTGTCTCTACAGGTGCGCATTCCTACTCCACTCAACACCAGTGGGGTTCAGGTCATCTGTATGAAGGGAAAAGCCAAGTACAAAGCCAGTGAGAACGCCATAGTATGGAAGTACGGCTTGATTTTTCTTTCTTTCTGACAACATATTATATTTCAATGATCGGTTTTAAATCCCACTGTTTAGTTTAACCTTTCTACTGAGTGAAGATTTGATAAAAACCAAATTCGCTTCAAGACGTATTAAACTGTGCTCCAACTGTGAAGGAAAACCTGGGAATAGTGGGAGATTTTAGTTTTTGTTTCAGAACCATAAATCAGGAAAATTATTTTATTTAATCCGTCCTTACAATAATAAATAGAATAAATTAAAGCTATTAATTCGAGGATTGGTACCTGACATACAGTATAACTTAAATTCCTTATCAAAATAGTCTTTTAAAGTTGTGATGAAACAGAATTAGCTTCAGATTCTTGTTTTCCTTATTATGACGTACATTGTAAGTGCGTAAACGAATAATCGAATAAGAAAAAATGTAGACTAGAGCCTGAATTTGGTTTCATTCCTCGGTTGTTTGATTGGATGTTGAGATGTTGAAAAGTGGAGGCAGATGAAAAGTTCCAGTTATGTCATTTTCATAAAAA